ATGTCCTAACCAGGAAAAATAAGATGCACAGTAAACACGCACTCAGATGGGTTAGTTGAGAGCTGACTTGCAATTGTCCTAATAAAGCAAATCTATGTGAGTCTATTTCACCATCGCTTGAATGTTCCTCCCTTTCTGTTGGATTCTGCTCCAATGATTCTCTGCTGTATTTAAAAAATGAAATCTTGATATTTCATAAAAGCCTTTTTGGTGTTTCACCATAGCAGTTCCAGCACTTCCTCTGTAACTAGTGTCTGTTTTATCAACCCTCTTCTGCTGGGCACCTTATGAGTGGGAGGTTGGTAATGGTTTTATTGAGAGTTGTCCCATAGTTTGCATGTTGTTCATCACTTAAATACTCTTTTGAAGGCATACTTGCACTCTTGGATAGCAATACCTTTATGTGAATAGCTTTTCCTGCAGTAAATTGGCAAATAGTTTGTCTCTGCAGTTCATTTTCTCTTTCAGTCTTTCTGTGTTGTTTTTTTAGGGTAAAATTTATATAAAAATTTGTCTTCTCCAATCATCTCATAACAATATTGCTTAACTGAATCCTCCATGAATAATTTTCTTGTCAATTTGTTTAGCTTGGAGCTGAACTAGGAGCCCGGGCTATCAGCCACCTGGAAGAAGTGAGCGATGAAGGTATCGCTGCAATGGCAAGAGCTAAGTGTGCAGCTGTCCTCTTACCAACCACTGCCTACATGCTAAGGTAACACCACTCTGGGCGAGGGAAACGGAATGGCAAAACCAGGATTATGTTGCTAGTGTCTTTCAACATAAAAAGTGTAGGCTTGAGTCTAGTCTCTAACTTGGAGGGGATCAGTGAAGAGAGTCCCATGTAGGAAGACCCAATTGGGCCTTAAGGGTTCCTTAAGGGGCTGAAAAGCTCCTCAAAAATACGGTAATATCCTATTACTGAGACTGTGTTAACCACAGTGCCTTCAGAATGATATGCTACCCTCATATTGTTCATTTTTATTGTTAATTGATTTTATTTCCAGAAACTGTGTTTGTCTTTACAGGAAGTATAGCTAAAAATTTCTTAACAAAATGTCTTTGCTGAGCTGTCCCTCAGCCTTTTGAACCCTAAAATTGCCCTGCTTTACCCAGTGCCTGGGCAATTTTGAAAAGGCTATTTTAGGTACTGAAGTTGATTGTATGAGTGTTGATTGGACCAGAGCTTAGTTGGGGATTGTTGCAAGGTACTTTCAACCTACCAAATAATGTAAACTTGGTACGTAACTCTCATGGTTCTCTCTCTGAAGATGATGCTGTGCTACCAGAATGTTACAGACCCTATTGGGTTGTTTGCGAAATGGTCAGTGGAAGAATTAGGCTTTTGTGTCATAGTTAATCCTTAAGCTAGTGAAGATATCTTTTGTATTACCATTGCTAAGGGAGAAAAATCCTTTGATGGATACTATTACAAAGGGAGTTCATAGCCTAGGATAGCTTTTACATTGCCCACAAAGTCAGGAAGAGAACATTGTTTTGGTTATGCCTGTTCTCATACTTGGAAGTCTCTCTTTGAGAACAGAAGATCTGCATCCTGACGATCCTTAAGTCAGTGAGGGTTTGATAAATACCAGAATTGCCTTGGCCTGGAGCTTGGCTACCACCACAGCACTATTTCTGCAAAAACACTGGATCACTGTGTCCATTTCAGTAGTCAGTAGGGCAGTAGATAGATAGCCATGAGCAGAATTTGGCCTTTTTTTTTTTTCCCCAAAATGATGAGCTTAACCAAATTCATCCGTGTAGCCAAATTCAGTAATTACTTTTGCTTTTGTAATTTGCCATGTAACAGATAAATGGATTTTACTGACAAGTGTCTTTTTCCCACTAGACTGAAGCAACCTCAAGCTAGGAAGATGCTAAAGGAAGGAGTTATAGTTGCTCTTGGCAGTGATTTTAATCCTAATGCATACTGTTTTTCAATGGTAAGCTGTCCTAATACGTATGACTCTGCACAGGTAGCAAGCCTCATACTAGTACAACATGTGGATAGTTCTTGCATACTTAAAACATTCTTCATTTCCACAAAGAGGAATGTGTGCCTGGCTTAAGCTATTGGAAATGTTGGGGGTTTTTGTTTGTTTGTTTGTTGGTTTTTTTCCTAGAATTTTTGAAACATGAAGGGTTGTGATTCTTCATACGTGCTTGATAGGCTTAGAATAAAGTCTTGAAATGCTCCTGATTTCACAGCTCTCTCTGGAATACACAAGACTTCAATCTTGCAGGAACACTTGTTAGGCTCAGGGTGGGAGGAAGGTGCTTTGGGATGCACTGTGGCCTGCACCAATGTGTTTATGCTGCTGGTAACCTGCAGTTCCCACCTGGCTTTCCCTCCAGCCTCTGGTGATGCACCTGGCCTGTGTAAACATGCAGCTGTCGATGAAGGAAGCGCTAGCAGCCGCTACCATCAACGCCGCTTACGCGCTCGGAAAGTCGGACACGCACGGCTCCATAGAGGCTGGCAAGCAGGGGGATGTCATTGTCATAAATTCAACCAGGTATGGTCTGGGAAAAAAGGTCTTTTATGTGAAATTACACTTCCACCTCTTGTGGAGAGCTTAATGCATTTATGTGTGTTTTGAAATTGTTTTCCTGTGCAGAAAAGGGACAGTGCTAATATCTTAGACATGATTTTTTTTAATTCTCCTCAAGTATTAATTGCTACAGGGGAAAGTAAAGAAAGACTTTTAGGGCTAGAACTACAAGAAATCTATTAAATTAAATACCTATTTAATTACTATAATTAGATAAGTTGTATTTAGTGTGAGGAATTCTCTACTCGCTTGTATATTAACGCATTGTATTCATACAACATTGTAACGATATCAAAGGGTAAACACAAATAGTGTTTTCTCATGGTTCAACTAAACATTTTCTTACTAGTTGAACATACTGGGTGCGTGAGCTGCTTTTATATTCACAAACATTTTGTTGTCTTTTCAGATGGGAACACTTGATTTACCAGTTTGGAGGACATCAGTCATTGATTGACTATGTTATAGTTAAAGGAAAAGTCGTATATAAAAATGAGAAGTGTGGGATAATGAGCAGTTACTGAAAGAAGACCATCATTGTGGAACTGTTAAAATCAAATAGACATTGAATGTTTCAGTTACAAAAAGAGGCAACAAAGAAATTGGACTGGCATTTTACTGCTAAGTTGTTGGCCTGCTCATCTTAGCAGCCCTTTTGTTCAAATAAAGTTTATCATGCATTACCCCCGCCGTCATTCTTCATATCAGGTATCCTTCTTGCCAGCGCATAAAAATAGTTGCTGTTGTATCTGTTTTGAATTAAGATTATTTCCTGAAATGAAGGTAAGGAAAAAAGTCGATGAAATTTTAATCTATAAAATTATTGTGTTAAAAGAGCAATGACTGGAGCCATTGGGATCAAGGTAGGATGTATGGGGGATGTATGTGCTTTAATTTTGTTCCCGTGTGGCAGGATGTCACGGCAGCAGCTAGGCAGGAAGTTGGGCTTAAACTGACCTGTTCAGTGGCTCCCAAGGCTCTGATGGCCGTGGGTGCTGGCACAGTCCACATGCTGGCTCTGTCAAGCAGAGTCAGTATTTAATCCTTGAAGTGCCTCAGGGCTTTCCTGGCCCAACCTTGCACAAGGAAAAGCCCAGACATTCGAACCGTCCAGGCGCAGGTGTGACTGGCAGGCAGGAGCTCGGGTGGCAGTTGCAAGCCGCGTGCTTGGCTGCTGATCCTGGTCGGATTCACAGCTGTTGCAGAGCACATCCCACGGGCGTAGTTAGGGGGGTTGCAGAGATCAGAGGGGTTGTCCTGAGGTTGGGCAGGTCCTGAGGGCCAGCTCTGCTCTCACCATTACGCAAGGTGCTCTTGCCTTGGCTGTGCTGCTATTGCAGCATCTTCGCAGCTGCAGTGGGAGGCACAGCCCTGACCTTCAGCGTTAGCACGTGCCCGCCCCCGCCCCCAAACTGCAGAAGGCTTTGCTTGCTTGCTTGCTTTTATTTTGGCTCCCTTCAGGGGTGGCCTTCGCTGTGTTGGCTCCCACAGCCATAGGAGCCTGCAGGAGCAGTAGGAGCAGGGGCTGGGAATCTCTCAAGCAAGTCTTGCTGGAAGCAGCATGTTACTGGGCCCTACTCGGAGGCTGAGGCAAGTAATTTCGGAACCCTGCAGCCTGAGGCTTGTGCTCACAGTTTCACTTAATGGTTTGTTTCATGCAGAAGAGGCCAGATCCAGGAGGGTAGAGTGTTTATTTGGTTCGTAAGGGAGAGCTGGTGGTCAAAGATGCTGCAGATCGGGCATGGAAAGAAGAAGCTGAGCTGGGAGCCCGCATGCCAGGGGTAGGTATGGCAGGTCCCAGGATTAGCTGGTTTGAAGACCCAATGAGGACCCATGCGCATGTTGAGATCTTGGAGTAACAAGAGCCACCTTGCTCTGTTTGGGGCAGCATGTCCTGCACAACTCACTGGTTCTCCAGGCTGGGTGAGGTGCCTCCCTGCCAGTGTCCCAAGTGCTGCTAATGCTGCTCTCGTTTAGCACTGCCCAGCACCCGGACGCACCAAGGTGGCCCCATAAGGGCACTGCAGCTGCACCTTGCAGCATCACCACTGCCGGGGTAGCTCTCCTGGGAGGACTTCCCACCGCTGCGGAGCCGCTGCAGCTGGGCTCGGCCGGCCTGCGCTGTCCCGAGGCTGAAGCTGCTCCCGGCCAAAGCTGCTGGCTTTGCACAAACTAGTATTAACGTGTCGTGACTCCGCTGCCCTGTGGTCACACGCTGAGTGTGGTAACATGGGGCAGGTTGCAACACCTTAGCTGGCAGGTCCAGGGTGACTTCAGTGCTATCGCCCCAGAGCTCGTTCCTCTCTCCCACTCCTTTTCCCCACCTCCCGTCCTGCAGAAACAGCCTGTACCATTTTCTGGCCCTTTGGCTTTCCAAACTAAGCTCTTGCCTTAAGTTTTCATCACCTCATAAGAAAGGGAAGCACACGGTTACAGCGGCATGTGATGCCTCACTATATTTATTGCAGGTGTGAAGCTGCAGGCCCCTTTGGGAAGCCACATTAAGTCTAGTCCATTATCAGAGTACAGCACATTTGTTCTGGAACAGTGGTCTTCATAGAACTGGTATCATGTTTTGTGTTTAGAAGCTCAGTAAATTCAGTTGCACTCATGGTCACGATTGTCCATGCTATTGTGACAACACTCTCTTTCACAGGTTGGGAACCGGTGAAGCATTTCTCCACTGATCCCTACGTGCTCCAGAGCTAGAGAAGCGGTTCCTTTCCTGTGTGCTCCCAGAAGAAACCATGATGAGTTCTCAAAAAACAGCCATCCCCAAACAAGGTCTTGGAAAAAATCTACCCTGTCAGATGCCAGCAAGTATTAAAGTTCATTTTGATGATTGTGGTCACATGTATTCACTGCCAGTGACCTCAGGGTGAAGGCTGTTGGTGAAACAGGTCTCGATTCGGGGATGTGTTCCTTCCTGTACTTTTCAATGTAAGGTTCAGCCACCTCCCACACCTGCAGAAGGAGAAAGTAAAACAACCAAGTCAGAAGCAAACAAACAATTCTCCTTTGACAGCAACACAAACGTTGCATGGACAGAACTGCAGTCCATGCAAACGTTGCTGGGACAGAACTGAGAATTTCAGAGCAATGCAAATAATGGGACTAGCAGAAACAGTGGGGCAATCAGAGCCAGGTTGCACAAGAGCATGTGGCCAGATGGAGTGGCTAAAGCTACCGAACAGGTGGAGAGGTATTTCCAAAGTGGGGCTGCAAAGTCCCGCTGAGCACTGATCACTGGGCATGTGCAAAAAATCAACACTTGCCTTCTGCTCCACCAGCAGCCTGTGAGCTGCTTCGATGTCCGGGGCCATGAAGCGATCCTTCATCCAAGGCCTGTGAGGAGACACACGGGAACATTGGCCAAACATTAACCACGGCCGCAGCCAGCCGGGCTCCCAAGCGGTAGGTAGCCCGTGGGCAGTGTGTTTATCGGATCTTACCTCACCACGGAGCGCACAAGGTCGTAGACCTTCTCCAATGGGGTGGTGGTTCTCAGAGGGCGGAGGAACTCAATGCCCTGGCAGGCTGCAAGCAGCTCAATCGCCAGGACTAGGCAATCAAAGCAGCGCAGGAGAGAGCTTTAGCGGGTGTAAAACCTGGAGTTTGTTCTAGCTAGAGGGATATTGTTTCAAGTGATACACAAAGACCCTCTGTGGATCCATATGTCCAGATGGGCAACCAGCAACAGGGTCATCTTAGGAATGGTGCTAGGGGACCTACCACATGTTGTAAAAAGCACATTCTGGGTGGCCTGCCATGCCAACTTTTAAATATGCCAAGCAATCCTAATTACTGCACTCTTAAATCCATAAATATCTTGTCTAGGGTGTCTTTCTTATTTTCCTGTGAACCAATACACCCAAGTAACTGCATCTAGGATATTCTTTCTGCAGTTACAAACTCATTTTTCTGCACAGAAAAAGAAAAAAAAAAGTTTTATAGAAGTTTAAGCCTTTAGAGTCCTCAAATGTATAAACGTAAGCTGGTATTTTTGCATTGTGTATAATTCTGTTTTTCCAGTAACAGCTGACATCTCTACCTAGGCACCCCATCTGCCTCAGAATAGAAATAAAATAGAAGAACAAAAGAGAATACTTCTTCTCTTCCAAGCAAAAGAAGAGGAAACATCTTTGTTGACTGTCCTGTAGTAAGCAGTTTTATTCCACAGGAACACTCAGCTTCAGATTTACCTCATCTCTGTTTTAAAGATCCACATGCTTGAAAAAAAAAATACATACCTCATACAATATCTTTGAATAGCTATTTAAGTCATGAACTTTGTTGTTGTTGTTTTGTTTTGTTTTTGCTAGAAAGAATGGCACATCATACCCTACTTGCATAGGTGCATCTCAAAAGGAGCACCTTGGCCGTACCTTGCTCCACGTGTTCGATAACTCGCAGGGCTTTCCTCGCAGCCCACCCTCCCATGGACACGTGGTCCTCTGTAGCAGCACTGGTTGACAGAGAGTCCACGGAGGAGGGGTGGCACAGGGCCTTGTTCTCAGAAACTGCAAGAGAAACATTTGGCAGCCCTGGGCAGGGACAGCACTGCAGCACTGCTCTAGAAACTGCCAATGATGTGACTTAAAAATAACAGTAATAGTTTTTCTTTTCTTTTTGCCCCCCCTTCCTTTTTTTTTTTTTTTTTTTCTTTTTTAAGGCTAAAATCAGAATTCAAATGCTATTTTTGGTTAATTCATGGTTATTTTGACCAGTGGAAAACTACTTTAATCCATGAACTTCTGGTAGTCATGAGGTTCGAGGCCTGGCAGGCGTTTTCCTTCCCCATGTCAGAGACCCAAGAATAACCCAGAAGCCCCAACTTCAGAGAGCAAATATGAGCTCTGGACGTAACCGCCGGATGAGCCAGGTTGAGATTCCCAGCACTGGAAGCCAAGCAACAGCCAGACCCTGGAGCCAACATAAACTCCGTCCAGACAAAAGGAAAAGCTGCCGGTCTTCAAAAGAGGGAACCAGCACTTTGCCTTATAATCCAGTCCCACCTCCAAAACCAGCCTATGGGAAGAGTTCCTCTGTTACATTAATTCATATTGACTGCCTTTTTTTTTTATTTTTTTTTTTTTTTGGTTTTTTTTCAGTTCAGCTTCTTCCTCAAAGTTTCTTGCTCTGAAAAACTGGACTGAAATGCTGTTGCTTCCCCTGACAGAGAAACAGCTCAACAGAGACAGACTCATCCAGACCCTCTCCCAACTGAAGCAGGGACTGCACCTGGAAAAACACACACCTCTTCCCTTTCTCTCTTCAATGGAAACAAGGACAGAGGAGGAATGATGGAAAAGAAAAAGACTCGCATAGTGAATATGTCTGTTAATGGTAAAAGGAGTAGTCAGACACATCGACTATCATCCATGATTCCTTTGCCTTTTTTCTTCCTTTCCTTTTCACTACAACCTTCTATCCCCCTGAGGAAAAGCCTGCTGACATGCTTATTTTTATTGTGCTCCTCCAGTTAAAATTCCTGGGAACTCCTGCTCCATGGAGTCTGACACCGGTTTGTGCACTGGGCCATCAGATGGAAGCAGGGAGTACTAAGAGCATCCCAACAGTCTTAAGTTTGAGACAAGTGGTGTCCACGTGCCAGGAGCGATGAGGGTGAGCGCAGAGCAAACCGTTCGGAGCCGACACAGTTGCAGCTGCCCTGAGCGCTCAGCTTTGCTTCCAGACAGCCCAAAGCAAGCGGAGAAGCAGCGGGACACAATCAGGAGCAAGACCCCTTTATATCTACAATCCACTTACCACTCCGTCAACATAAACTGCCCTGTCCATTTCGGCTCCCTTGAGGACACTGCTCAAGCACTCACCCAGGGCAGCTGCTGTGCAGTGGGCAATCATGAAGCCCGAGTTCAGGCCCCCTTCGGTCACCAGAAACGCAGGCAGCTCGCTGAGCGACGGGTTGCAGAGCCTCTCGATTCTTCTTTCGCTGATTGCAGCAAGTTCGTGCACTCCAATTGCCAAATAATCCAGAGCCTATGAAAGAAGATGCCATTATGTCAGATGATTAAAAAAAAAAAATTTTTTTTTCCTCTGGAAGTTTAATTACCTTTGCAGGATATTCACCGTGAAAATTTCCTCCAGAAATGGTCTCTGCCCTTTGAGCAAACACCATCTTTAGGGAGAAGCTAAGGCACGCACACACATAAATTTCTACTTACATGACAGCTCCCTGCAAATAATCAGAACGTCTTCTCTGAAGGAATCTCATGCTAACACGCTTTTCTTTGCCAGTGCATCTACTACCTCTGCTGCTCACTTTTCAGAAAATGAAGATCGAATCTCAGTTCTCCAAACTTGTAGACATAGTTTTGACATCTATTTCGTTAAATGGACTACGAGATGAAGTGTTTGATCAGAGTGTGAAAACTATTAGGGATGCAAAAAAACCACACATTTGGATACCAGCTTTTGGATACTAGTTTAGATTTCTCAGCTGCTTAGTAGACTCTCTCCAAGGCAGGCTGCAAGGAGTGATGCTTACCAGCTATTGATATGACAATAAATACAGCACCTTTACACTGCTGGGGGGAATTCAGGTTTTGCTAATGCTGCAGCACCAGATATTTCAAATGAAAATCCACTGTCAATCTAAGTCCATTCGTTGTCAAGCCCTGCCTATCTACACATTCAATATAAGAGCACAAAACCTGATTTAGGAAGCATTTAAATGCATTAAACTTAATGTACAAGTCCCAACATACATTCCCATGCTCCAGTGCTTTACACAACTGCAGCCTAACACTGTGAGTGTTGCTTTTGGGGCCAATTGACTGCTATTGACAGAAGCCAACTACGACTTTTAAACCTCACATACAAATAATTACTCGAAAGAAGGAGATAAAAAGGACCAAGCATTTTTTTTTTTGAGAAATAAAAATGATCAAAAAGATACAGGGTTGTCCGTAGCACTGTTGATTTCAGTCATCATGATGTCCTTCACAAAAGCGATTGTATCATTTACCACTCCGTGAACCTAGAACAAAAGACATTAGCACCAGAGCTTAGCATCCCTGCTTAGTTCACCTTCAGTATGCTGGCCCAGTTGCAGGTGCTGCCCTGTGCCCTTATTCCAATCTCTAAATCATGAAGACATGAAGACAGTCTTGGATTTGCTCTGAAATTCATGAGCACTGCCATTGTGGGACACTGCCCATCCTGGACATCTGTAAGACTAGATTTACGTTTATCATGACAGTGTTGCTAAGACAATCATCTGAATGCATCATTCTTTGCCTGTTTGGGATGGTATACTCAAAATGGAAGACAAGAAAATTAATGCTCTCTTAGCTGATTGGGGATAGAAGTGATATCAAATGAGAACTAATCTAAGCAAAACATCATAGAAAACAAAAACTCTCACAAATTAATCAATTACCAATCAAGATTAGATAAATCTTTCAGTGATTGTAATAGCTTTACTCATGTTAAAACACGGGTTGAAATTCACCCAATATGTGTGGGATACTACAGGTTTGGGATACAGTAAGCCATTCCAGCTGCTTCTGGAAACATTTTTCCCCAGCTTATGGTCTTAGTACCTAGGCTGAGGAACCCCCCTGGAAAGCCTGCAGGTGTGGAAGCCGGTGTCTTCCCCATGCCTCCTGCCCTTGGCCTTTTGCAGATGTGAACCCAGCGCTGCCGGGCACTGCCTGGTGGCTGCGTGCGCTCCCGTAGCGTGGGATCAACAAACTGCGTGTCTCTGCTAGCAGCAACTTTGAGCTGAAGGAGAGGCAAAACAAAACTGCCTCCTCTAGTGGAGTCAGACGATGTATTTCTGAGATGGCCACTTCACCACCATTTGTCAGCTGCAGCAGAAGGAAACAGAGATGGCTTTTTACCTGAGGGCAGCAGCGCATGGTGTAGGCATCCTGAACGCGATCACAAAATCTATGGCTCTCTAGGAAGAACACGGGGAAAAAACAAATATTCCTTACACAAAAATGTACGTGTGATTGTAGAAACACCCAACCTGTCCTGAGTACCTCAGGAGGTTGAAGACTAGGATTTTTCACCTGCTATTTCTGATGGATGATGGTCAGAATCTAAAAGGGACCTGAATCGAAAAGCCACTTCTGCCTGCCCACGGTGTGGACGCACTGCATGGATATCTAGAAAAACAAATAAGACCATTAAATTTTGCCCTCTCTTGTCAACTAAAGGGCAGAAAACGTCCAGTACCAACCTGTGTCAAAGGCCCTAGTTGTTCCCTTCAAGACTTCAAGTGTGAGGGCAGCAATTATGTCTGCTTGCCTAGCAATAGCACTTGCTCTTTCAACTGCTTCGCATCCCAGGGAAGTGATCATTTGTGTCCCGTTAATTAGAGCCAGACCCTTCAAAGAGAGAGCAGCTGTTAGGCAAATTCATTGCTGCTATTCCACGTGCTGTGAGAACTCGCCATCTCTGCAGTAATTCAAATGAAAACAAGAGAAGTACAGCAAAAAGGCATGTTTTATTCTTGTCCTGTTCCTTGCAAGCATAACATTATTTTTACTCACTTCTTTTATGTTATTAGCTATATTGAAGGAGGTATGAGCATGGGGCATGTGAGAAACACAATAATGGAGCAGAGAATTAAAATAGAAGTCTTAACTGATTTAACAGTTTAAACAGTTAAAACCAGCTACAGTTCTAAGTTAGAAGAACCTTAAAGAAGTTTAAGGTTCTAAGGGCCCTTAAAGCCCAAGAGAATTGTTTTTTTTTTTCTAGGAGACAAGGGTTTTAGCTGCTTGGTTCTGAATTTGTTTTATAGTTATTGAGGCCCATTGCCAGAGGGCTGCACTGCCTCAAGTCTGTTGCATCCCTGTGCAAAGTTTCATACTTGGAACAAGATTCATCTCACTTAGTTTTAGCAGTCTAAAAGTCAAACACAGCCTGGGCTCATACTTTGGTCAGAGATTGCTACCTTCAGAGGGCTTCTTGGACTCGTGATTCAGGATGAGAGAAACAGTTTTCTGAAGATGCCTGTGCCTCTCCACTGATTCCATACACACATAATCCAAAGGACAAGCTTGGGTTTGACAGAGCAAGTTAAATGGGATGATATTGGAAGAAAAATCCCACTCTCGACAGTAATTTTTTAGAATGGTTTTTTTAATCAACAGATTAAACTACACAAATTAACTATTCACATTATGCTGCTGATATTAATATAATATACAATATTATAACTATATGTTTACATACTTATATATAATTATAAGCTTTATATGCTTATTATATGCTGCATATAAAGCATTCTTTCCATTGATCAGGAGTAGTAGAAAATGTGGATCAATTCCCATTACCAGTGAAAAAAGCGCAGAATTTAATCACTGGCATTTATGGCATCACTGGCATTTCAGTTATAAAGCATAACTCTAAAGCTAGCGAATGGTGAGGCCTGTTTTCCTATAGCTGGCATGACTTCACTTTCTTACCTCCTTTGGTTTCAGTGTAATTGGTTTCAGACCATGGGCTTCCAGGACCTGCAAAGTAGTTTGATGACAAGACAGTTAACAAAAAAATGCTTTTCAGGGATTCAAACAGCAAAATTTTGAAATCTTAGATCATAAATAAAAAATATTAGAAAATTCTCCAGTGAAGAGAGAAAAAGGAACTTTGTCTCACACAAACACTTTAAACATTTTTTTTTTGGCTAGGCTAAGGAAAAGATTGCGTATTTGGGCTTCAAAACCAGCATCTGGTTTTCCAGGGCCAGTAAAAGAAGGTACAAGGAGCAATAAAATGAGATATTCTCACAGCCCATTAACATCTGTTGCATACTATCTGATGGGAGAGAGTAATAGGAGAGAAGGTAGGAAATGTCTTGTGAAGGTAGATCTGTTCACCTCCTGCCTCAAAGTAGGTTTGGCTTGGCATAAACTATTCCTTATAAATAGGAATTCCTTATAAATAGGAATTCCTATTTCCTAGGAATTTCCCCTAGAAACTGAAGATAGAGACAGGATGTTGTATCCTTCTTTAGAGTATTTCCAATGATGAAGAGGTCTATTCAGGTAATCAGTCTTGTGAGAAATGGAGGAATAGTGTAATTCATTTTGATTGGAGTATTCTTTTTTTTTTCAGCTAAAGAGATATTACATTTCAGAGAAATATACTTAGGAAATGGAAGGAGCAGTAACACCAGAAACCTTGCCTCTGGAAACAACACAAGAGACAAATTTAATCAACTGACAAAAGCCGGTAGAGCAACAGAGAGAGAGGGTGAAAGGCTGGGTGATCTCATGTCGAAAATCCTTCCTGGGGAATTTGGTTTCAACTCCCTTCCGGCTACAGAGTACTTGTGGGAGCCACTGACCTGATGGATGAAGTTCTTATTCCTCTTGGGCCTCATCTCCCTTCCCACCAATTCTTTCCCTTGTTCCCAGAAAGAATGGCACAAGTTGGGATGTAATCATCTGAATACATGGTGTATGATCATAAAGTAATGAGCCATTGTCCCCTACAACATTTGAAAACAGGAGGTCCAGGCCAGCCCACCTTGCTTCTTTCCCTGCTTGTCTCCCTGCGTAGCTCTCCATGTTACCATAATGGAATGGCTATTAATCCATGAAAAGATTTGGTACTCAAACATTACATGCGTAGGACCAACAAGTCTTACAGAACAAATGACCAAGAGAGACTTTGGAAAGGCCATACTTGGAGATATTAACCACTAGATCAATCTGCTAGCTTATTAGTGACAAAACAAAATTAGAATAAAATAATTCTATTATAAACTTCTTGTTGTAAAGGATGCTATAAAGGATTCCCGTGACTATGCCAAAACATCTATAAAATGCAGTAAATGCTTCACGACTAAGTTCAGAAAATCTGCAGTTCTTAGCATTTGAACTCTTGCATTTTGAGGGGTTTGTGTGACAGTGCTGATATTTATGGAGCTGAAGGTGCAGTAATAGCTCTGTCAGAGCTTGTCTGTCACATCCTGTCTCTCTCTCCAGTTCCTAACCAACGTCACTGCAGTATCTTGCACTGTGATACCAGGCTGTGATATTGCTTTAGGATCTAATGACATGCCGGACATTCACCCAGTGTCCGTCGCAATGACATGCGGGGCCAGTAGCTTCCTCTCTCATGGATCAATTTTCCTCAAGGTACAAGACGAGCTGCTAAAGGCAACCTAGACCCAACTCAAATTGAAACACAATTTCCAAAGACTTGTAAATGTTATGATCCTAACAATTCTTAGGAAAACGCCTCTCCTTCTCAATATTGTACACAATTTACACAGAATAGTCAGCAAGCAGGAAAAAAAATGGATCTTACATATTTAGCATCAGCCCAACCACTCTTTGGAGACCACATCTTTCCCTCTCCAATCAATCCCAGAGCAAGATGAGAGAGGGGGGCCAAGTCTCCACTGGCTCCAACTGTCCCTTTCTCAGGGATATAAGGAAGGCAGGATGCTAGAAAGAAAAAAATTACAACTCTCATTAGAGCTTCCTCTTGATATGCTCCTTGGAAAACAGACATGTGAACATGGTCACATTTACATTCTACAGTAATGACCAATATAACCAACACAACTCTCATTGCAGACAAGGATTTGTCAGACTAGCTGCAGCTTATAGGGGAATCAATTCCCTTCTCAATAAAGTCCTACAATGTCTTGGTGGACCCCTGCTAGTGGTCATTGCATCTAGAATTATAAGGTCAGGCAGCTAAAATATGCTCCTCTGAAGTCACATCCCAGTTGTGCAGAGTTCTTCAGGACTTGTAACCTGGAAATCTTGATTCCCAGGATCTTGATTCACAGGACACACTGTCATCATTTATGAAGTCTGTGGGAAATTGGAGCTAATAGTTGAGCTCCTCAACGTAACACCAGAAGCATTGCCATCTTACTCTCAGCCCTGTTAGGCTTTATCTAAGGCTTATCCAACAGCTTCTGTGCACTCTTTACCTTTCCATCTAGTTCTTAGCATATGCAAGATTTCATCCCTTATAAAACTTCTAGGAACAGTATTTGTACTCAAGAAGATCAGTGAGTACTATGTGTTCTAGAAAACGTATTTGTGAGTAGCCATCGTAGCCTACATCTCCCAGAATAACTTAAAAAATAGAGTTACGTATCCAGCTGAAAACTTATCTTCCAGGACAGACTTTGTGTTTGAGAGGGTAGCCTTGAATAAGCAAGTGTTTAGTGTTGCCACTAACTAGTAGAACAGTTTTCCTGCTCAGGCTTCCAGCCACCCAATGTAGTTTTAACTGTTTTCATAGCTGAGGCAACATGAAGGGCTGTTATGGTCCACGCAGTTCAGCACGTGCTGTCTTGTAGCTCCTGCTCATGACACCTGTGCATGGATCCTGTGCATGGATCTACTTGCAACAGCAGATACTGCTCAGCAGGTCTACTCAGCAAACACCCACATAGGTATTTTTTCAACATGATAACAGCTCCATCTGAAATTCTCAGTGTCCCAAAAGACATTGGCACATACGTCTGCAAGTACCCAGTATGGAAAGGATTATAGACCTGAATTTTTACAGAAGTGCTCGCCCCAGGTTAGAGTTGTGTTCTTCACAGGTTGATTAACAGCCACAACTGTGAAACATTGCCATGTAGAACAACTAACACCCAGTGCTTAAAAGGTAAGTAGATGCCACCCTGTTCAGCATGGCCTATGGGTCACTACTGATCTTGCAAGCTAGGTGACTTGGTTTTATGATAGACAAGAGAAAAACGGCTCTGTAGCTTAATTAACCTGGTTTTAACATTCCATGTAGGTCACCCTGTCCATAACTGTTCAGCATAGAAAGAGCTCGACGTCACTGTTAGTCTTGGCCTGCCCATGAAAAGGCAACCTGTCGTTTTGAGTAACATTGTGTTCAGAGCACGCTTGTTACAAGCTCATGATGAGATTTCTTTCCACAGCAAAGAACGTAAGGAATAACATCAGGTTCATATATATAGCTGGAGCTGAACTGGGATATACACTATCCAAGTGCAATTCATGTTTCTGCCACAAACTTCCTGCCTGGTCTTGAACTACCTACCTGATTTTCTGAATGCCTATCTGTTGCACAGCTTTTCCTCAGCCCTTCCTGTCATTTCTGCTCATACTATATTTTCCTTAAACATCTTTTTACCATTAAATGCTTCAATAACTTGCTGGAGAGTTTCCAAGGATATCCCACTGTATCCTTTAGCTAGGACGTTGATCCTCAGTGCCAAGAGCATGCGAGATCTGTCTGGGCTCAGAGGTTTCCCAACACCTGAAATGGTAACATCTCAGTTACTAAGCACAATATCAACAGTGACAGAAAAGGGAAAATATCAAGCACTGTCTCATACCTGCAGAATGTGAGCGGACTAAATTCACTTGGAGCTCCCTATGAAGAAGAGGAAAATAAAGGTCATGTAAAACTCCAAATAAGCCTTTCAAAGAAAATGTTTGTGTTGCACAAAGAAACTAAAGAAGTATAAAAATACAGTGTAGAATTGCTCCTTCTTATATGCATGACTTCCAAAAGTAAAGGAGAGATGCATACATAACTTACCTAAGTTTACTATTTGGAATGACTGTTCGGGCAAATTTCCCAAATCCCGTGGTAATTCCATAAACAACTGAAAGACACATACACTTCTGGATAAGAAGAGAACCTAATAAAGCTATCTAAACTAAATGAAAAAAAAAAAACAATTAACAGATAGAGATGAAATATATATATACCTGTCTGCTCTTTCACAATCCTTTCAATCACTTCTCTTGATCGCTTAACTTTTGCTTCAGCTTCACGTGTGAGCTAGAAAACAAATATTTTCAATATTAGTTATCTATTATTGCTTAATTCTGATCGTAGAAGGATAAATACATCATGTTTAGCTATCTTCATTCAGAATCTTTACCTTTATCTTGTAGAGTCCCTTCCCTAAATTCACCAAGTCCTCCGTTGTTAAACTGTCCCCATCTAAAGAAATATACTGCACAAAAGAACCACATTTTAATTAGGGCTACATATAAAGTTACTTAATAAGCAGTATTAAATAAAAACATAGTTAAAGTTTCGCAAGAATAGGAAGCTCACACATGCTCTCATTTGTAAGGCAGGAAACTCTCCAACAAAAAAGTAATAAGCACACTACAGTTGAGATCCCCAGGCCCAGCAAATTTGACAGCATTTCATGCTGTGCTGTGAACACAGCAATTGCTAAACTCTCAAGAGGTTTTGATGAATAGCAAGAACATTACTGAGCTATAATATCTTTATCGAGTCCTACCTGTTCTGGTTCTCTGTATTTGCTATACCTTAAAGTTCTATAAAGGAAAATAAAGGGCAAACACAATTTCATAGGTTGCAGCTATTTGATTAAAGCTACCAACTTATTCTAAAGAAGGAGGAACACTGAAAAAACAACGATATGTAGAAAATTGTAATTCTGAATTTCAAGGAAAAGTTCACCAAATAAAAAATAATCAGAAAAAGGATACAAATGAACTCCTTCCGGTTGAGATGGTATGAAATCGGGGGACATTATATCTCCTTCTATAACTAGAAGAAATATGTAAAGTAAGCACAAGCAGCATTAAATTGCACTTTCCATAAAAAGAAATCCTTTATTCCTTGTAATATACAGCAATATGAATTTTAACTTGCAGTCATCAGCCCAAATCATATTTCTTTGCTTCCAGAAAAATAACAAGCGACTGTGTAATTATTTAAGGTACGCTAAAGGCAAAGGCAAACAGCTCAAGCCTTGGACACGTAGCCCGTGCCTCGTATGGACAGTGCATATGGTGTCACATACAGATGATACATATTGAACTCCGTAGCTTCTAAATTCCTAAATTGTATTTCTGCTCTTTGTAACTACTGCTCCGTTTGGCCTTCTTCCATGGGACCAAAGGGGCCACCTGAGCTGCAGTCTGAGGGGAACACGCGGCGTGCGCCGACTCCCAAGGCCGACCGCAGGGGCTGCTTGAGGCCTGCTTACCCACTTCCACAAACTCGTTGTCCTCCAGCGCGTCCTCCACTGCGTCATCGAGGTCCAGCAAGCCGAGCCCCTTGCACCTCCGCACGTAGAATTTCACCTCTTCCAGCGAGGAAAAGCCCCCGTTGTCAGGTTTGTTCTTCATGTATCGTCTCACGGCCTCCCTGCCCAGCCAGCCCACGGTGTTGGTGCAGTTCTGGCAGGGCACTGCCAGCCATTCTCCTCGCACGTGCACGGTGTATCTGGGCATGCTTCCTCTCGGCTCCGTGCTCCAGAGGACTGCGGCTCAGCCGGACCCAGTGCCGCTGTCAGATAAAGGCAAAGATCCACCTCCAAAGATCCCCACCTTTGTAAACAAGCCAGACCAATGGATTCATCCGACTCATCCAATCAAACCAACCGTAGGGAGCACACCCTTTTGCTGGAAAGGGAAAAGGACCCCATTGACACAGGAACTTTTCCAAAGATCGTACCAGATAGATAAAAATTAAAACCCAGGAGCTAGAGTTTATGCATCAAGAAAAATAGATAAATAAATCAAAATAAGCTGAAATGCAACTGTACAAAGACCTTGAAGATTTAACAAGAGGTAATGAAGCTCCTACGTGGCAGTAGATGTTACTAATATCTGCACAAAGGACAAGGCTGGAAGGTATTTGCCCCATTAAGGATTGCTGGCAGCTGCTGGGATTGAAAGGACACTAGATTATGGCCTTGCACCTCTACCCTGAGCAAGATGAAGCAGGCTGACAGTGTAGGAAATAAATCCGCTTTGCTCATTCCCACACTAAAATTGAGAAGGTAGTTTTGCATTATAGATTAAACAAAGAATTCATAAACCACCCTCCACTACTCTATAATTTGAGCTCTGGAGGATGTTGCGCTAACAGGTATCAATAAACACTGGACTGTGCCTGCACATTTCTGAGCCTCATACCAAACTTCCTTTGCAGATGCCAGCAGAGAGGGCAAGATGTGCAGATACAGGGGGTAACGGGTGCTAAATAAAGCTTGGCAATGACCATGTCCACACAGGAGCTGTAGGTGCCTATACTGTTAAATACAAAACTACAGCAACACATTTGTAGTTCATGCTATCCAACATATTATTCCTAGCCCCCCAAACAACTGCTATGCAGTGCACTCAGCTGGGATGAGTTCCCACAGGAATGAGGCATTGCTGGAGATGGGCTGAAGCCTCCACAGGGGTGACAGCAGCGCAGCAGAGGGCATTGGTGCTGGTCAGAGGCAGCCTTTGGTGCTGCTCACACAGGCGCTACCTCCATCCCGGCTCCAGCAGCAGGAACCAAGCCTGGCTGGCAGTCAGTTCCCACACCCAGGCTAGGGGTAAGACACGGCCTTCCGCAAGAAAAAGGGAATTACCCCATAGCAACTAACACAGCAAACCTTTCTAAAGCCAAAGGCAGTAGCAGCTTTCTTTGCAATCCGTAGCTTGAGACAAAAATCTTTCAAAACCAGATACTTCCTTCCAGCAGAATCTTGTCCTTGCTCCTTCAGGTGCATTTCAGCCAGTTCTCTGCTAGAGGTTATCACTCAGGGGACTAGCATGAAGAGAGCAAACGGCTCCTTAGATCCTTTGTACAAGAAAGCTGCTTGTAGAGTAGCTATTGAAGTAGCTACTAAATCAAGAGGGAATTGCCATTTTAGTTCAAAAAAAGTTAGTGTCCTTTGTTCCAGTTTCTCACAGGCTAAGTAGCACAAGTTTAATGGTAACACCATGATGATTTTTGCCTTCAGCCCCTGAATGTTAATTTTTCTATTCTTTTAAATCAAGTTAACTTAGAATAGGTTAAGACATACAGATTAACGGAGCAACGCAAGGTGCCTTGAATCCACAAAATTCTGTCAAGATATGCTCTGGCCTTAACTTATATTAGAACTACTAGCATGAACAGATAAATGTCCTGCTAAAATAAGGACTCTTGTATAAGCTTAAACTAATTAAAACTCAGAATTGATCGATAAACTCTCTCCACTCTTCAAGCATTGTTCTTTAATCCATTATATTTGGTGTTTTTCCTCCTGCAAAAGATAGTTGGGTTTTTTTTTTTCCTATTTCCTTTCACTTACTTTTTGATAGGGGGTTATTTCTATTTCAATTAATTAGTTTTAGCTTTTGGATGCCATTCTTCTCCAAATCACTTCAAAAAACAATCTATAGATGGCAGTATTATAACAGTTTTACCTCAAATATCAACTCCTGTGCCCAGACTAAAGTGCTGAAACAATTACAGTCTTCCTACTTTGTGATCCTTTTCTCTTCACTGTTATATTAGTGAAAGTACTTGTTAAAAAAAAAAAAAAAAAAAAAACAATATTCAAGTCAAATCCATGAGGGAAAGACTTGAACTTCAGTTCCCCTACAACAACTGGAATTATTTTAAAATATGAAGTGGGATGAAATAATTTAAATAAGTCACTAAATGCGTAGCAAGATTCTCCAGCTTTAAAAAAAAAAATCAGCTGCCTCAAAATATTACCACGCTACATAGGATTCAATAGAAACACTTAAGTAAAATCACCATGTTGTGATCAATTTAAGGAACTGACTAATATTAAAGGTCATGACAAATAAGACTAGAATACAATTTTGCTCAGACATAATAATGCTGTGGTCCAGTCTGGCCTTCATAATCTTTTTGGACTCATGGCTACTCGACATCAAGTGAAATATTTCTCTCACAATGCAGGAAAGCATGAGAAAATTATTTTGATACTTTTTTTGTACAGATCAATACAAGGACAAATAGGCTGAGCAATAAAAAGATTTATTATTTTTTAAGTCTTCAGACACTTGGAAGTTTCAGATGAATGTTGCTGTGAAAAAGAAAGCTGTGCACAGAGTGACAAGATCCACCAATTAATTCTCCACAATTTTAAATTCCACATAATTGACAAAAACGACTGCATCACAGAGTAGCTGTTTTGTATTTTAAAAAATGTTTGTAACAAAATCATTCTCCCAGTTAGTGATTCTACAGTTTCACTTGTGGGTGCAAAATATAAAAATTGATTTGGAAGCTTCATTTTAAGCTGAATTAGTACCAAGGCAGCAGCATGTTTTATGGGATAACCAAGCACGCGTGTCAGCAGAGGTTACAGGGTCAGTCTTCTCTTTGCTCCCCGCGACCAAGAATGTTTCAGAGATGTGTCACTGATCCTGTTTCAAGTCTTTGCCCACCAGCATTGAAGTGACTGGGTGCATACAAGCTCTGTGCTCCAGAAATGTCTTGACAGCCAGATCTCGGGACTTGTCAAAATTGTAGAGATCCCTGTAAAAAATACAGTGTCACAAAAAGCAATGAAAACACAGGTTAATGCGGATTTTCACCTCTAAGTTTTACTTTTCCCTTGAAATCTTCATATTAAGATACATAAAAAAAAAAAGGAAAAAAAGAGATAATTCTGAAGATTATCATCCAAAGATTATCATCCCCAAACCAAACATAAGATTCTGTATTACATGACTTAAATGGTTATGTCCATATGTTAATATACCAAGTCTTAAGTACTTGTGTATATACATCATTATATCAAATCCAAACACTAAGACTGTCAATGTGAGCTCCTAAACTTTGAAGATTATTTTCACCTGAACAAGGGTCGAGTAAACTTCATTCTGCCTTGATCTGTCGCCATTTTCAGGGCCAGAGGAATGGCTTCTTCCCACTTGGCCTGGATGCAGAGGCGCAGCCATCTGGGGGGGAAATACATTTTTATTTCTCCTTCATTTCCACCTGCAGCAGTCAGTCACTTTCAGATTCTCCTTCCACAAATGCTCACTGCTGTACTACATAACCACAGGAATGGGAGTCTACTGCTAACTTCAATATAAAATACTTAGTGCATGAATTGCTTATTTAAAAAGAGAAGTTGACTTTGAAGATCTTTTTCTTTTCTATTTTTTCAGTCAAAGTTTCTCCAAGAACTATGCATTTCTTTTATATTACAATAGTGTCCAATTGCATGATTCAGAATTACAGCCCAGTTACGTAGCAATCATTATATTTGATCAAGCCATTAAAAAAAGAAAACTCTCATCAGGATGGGCACACAATTATTTTGTTTTAAAAATAATATCTTGTTATGAGAACCATGAATTATACTGTATACTTAAAATACTTACAGGTATTGTGATAGGAAACAAAGTATAAGATAAGTAAGGTAGACTATTCTCTGCTCTTGCAAATGTACCAAAGTAGGCTGCAGCAGCAAGCTTTGCAGTTCTTCAACTATTTGTGAAGATGCCTTTTCTTTCTACTCCCAAGCTGTGTGTTTTAAGAATATTTAAATACTAAATAGAATATTCAGGTTGGTACAAGAATTGTAAGCTCAAACTGCTTGGCTATGAGCATTTCCTGATTGTCTAGAAACTTCCTCTGAAATTAAATCTTTTGGAGAGACAAAGAGCTTTGTGATAAGAGGCATTAAAACATACCAAAAAACTTCAGGTTGTGCAGAAAAAACATGGGGCTGTTAGCCTAAGAAGAAATCAGTAGCCTGGGCCAGAAGATCTGTTCCTGATCGAATCCTGGGTGAATCTTTCAAGCATTTCCTCAAGCCACAGAAGGGCCTCACTATTATCCAACACCGCCTCCAAACAGCTAAGTTACCAGATCATCACGTTCCCTTGCTAGCGTGACACATGAGAATGTAGCAGAGCTAGTCCACTGTTCACCGTCTGTTCTTCTGCAGGAATGTATTTAAATAATTTACCCACTTCATAAGTAATAGAACACTGCTCTTTAGTAAGCATGCTTACACATGCATATAAGTAAAAAGTAATGGCTTTACTGAACATCAGCTGATTAAAAAGAGCAAAACTGTCATCATTTATGAAGCAGGACAATTTGTTTTCTGAAATTATTCAAGATTAGGGGAAACAAAATGTAAAAGATAAAAAAAGCCCAAATAGAACAAACCTGAATCTTATTTCAGAGTTGGTTACAGCATTGAAGTTGTACACTTCCTGCATCCGTTTCACGTGTGACGCTGAAAGTGGTGCCTAGAAAAGGAAAGGGCAAAATCAGAATAAGCCAGATGTGCACTCCAATCCAGGCACTTCAGAATATAAACAAGCTCTTGAGGGGAGACTAATGCGGTAAAGGTAAAATAAAAAGCCTTCTGTGATAAATGTAATTGTTTGTTCCTTTCACCCTCTCATTAAACACGGATGTTTGCAAAAAATCACGCCCAGTGCTACTAGAACATTCTAAAAACTGCACAAAAGAACTTGAAGATACCTGTAG